CCACCCGATCCTGACCTCCGCACTCCCGATTCCCCCCAATTTTCTCCGTTCCCATTTCCGCTGCCTGATTTCTCGCGCGCATTTCCCCGCCATTTTCCCCCACCCATCGTGCACATTTTCCCGCCATTTTCCCCCCACTCCAACTCTGATCTCCATCCCCCTCCCTTCGATCACCACCCGATCCTGACCTCCGCACTCCCGATTCCCCCCAATTTTCTCCGTTCCCATTTCCGCTGCCTGATTTCCCATCTCCCCTCCCCTCCCCTCCGTTCGCTCGCTTCCCTTGCTGCCCCCGTTCCACTGCTCGATCGAATTCCCACCCGCCCACCCGCCCACCATTGCCTTGCTATTCCCGATCCCGCTCTTCATCCCCCCCCAACCAGTTTTTCCCACTTAGATCCGCTCTTCCCCACCAATTATGATCCCTCTTCCCCGATCGCGATAGCTCTTAGAGCGTATACAACTGCGAGAGCATGGTCTATTGATCCTTCAGCGTTTGGAACTTGAAGCTAGTCCCGTGAAGACAGCTGCTTTTTGATCCTTCGATGACGCTCTTCCTATCACTGTCGACAGCGTCGAGCAGAATTCACCAAGTGTTGATCAACATCCTATCAATCAATCAATCAATCAATCAATCAATCAATCAACCAATACAATCAATCAATCAGTCGGGATCCTGTTGAACCGATTGGTTCGATAGGATCTTGATCAAGATCCTATCGAACCAATCGGTTTGACTATCAATCAATCAATCAATCAGTCAGGATCCCGTTGAACCGATTGCCTACCTATCCGTCTATCTATCTCTCTACCCACCCGTCAATCAATCAATCAATCCAATCCCCCCAACACCCCACCATCACACCTTGCACATATCTGAATTTTTTTTTCGTTTTTGCTCAGAACAGCCTGAAATTTTTTTGGGGGTCACCAAGAGACATCCCCAGTCCAAATCTACTCCTCTTAATTAGTTTTGAAACCAAAGATACGCGACATAATGTGGGTGTGACAAGGCTGAGCAGCAAGGGCGGGGAAGAGAGAGAGGGAGAGAGTGAGAACACACACACTCACTCAACTTGACACGGACTCGACACAACTCGACGGACGCAGACACAAAGTGGCGAAGTCACAAAGTCGCAGTCTTGGATTTCGAACACAATGTCGCAGCAAGTCACACTGAAGCACAAGCACTGAGGCCGAAAAACTGAGTGCCCGAACTCAGCTTGAGCCCGACCTTAAGTACCGGACTCAAGTTGAGTCCAAGGGCAGAAGTGCAATTTGCCTTGGGGCTGAACTGAAAATCGAAGGTCTGAGCCTGGGTGCCAGAATCCCGGATGGCGCCAAGTATCGAAATCCGAAAGTGCCAGAGGCGGGATTTGAGAACGGGTGCCAACTGCAGAGGGCGCCAACAGTCAGGAACCGGAGATCAGAGACTCAAAAAAAATAAAATAGCAGCCTGGTGGGTGGTAACCTGCGGACCAGGGATTGAGCCCTGGCTGAGTCCGTAACACTATCCCCTACCTCTGGAAGGCAACGTCGCGGCTGCCAAAGACCCAATGAACAACTGTGAAGGATGGGACGGGGCCAATTACTGGTCAGAAAAGGAAAGGGGGAGTAATGCAAGTAGCAGGGTAATCCTATGGGGGTTCTACAGGGATGAGGGAATCAATGTTCAAGTAACAGGGTAATCCTACTAAGGTTCTACATGGATGAGGGAATCAATGCTCAAGTAACAGGGTAATTCTACTAAGGTTCTACAGGGATGAGGGAATCAATGCTCAAGTAACAGGGTAATCTTATTGAGGTTCTACAGGTAACAGGGCAGTCCTATTGGTGTTCTACAAGGTTGCAGGTTGTCAGGTTTGAGAAAAAAAAATTAAAAAAAAATTGTTTGTTCAATGCTCAAGTGCTGGGGTGTCTGAGGAGGTCTGGGAATACAACGTCTCAGGTCTGTAACAAAGTGTCAGAGGTGAAAAATGTCTTGAGGAAGGTCTTGGCGGGTGTCGCAGAAGTGGCGGTGAGGAAGCAGTCTTCAGCAGTTCTGTGATATAGACGGCGAGGGCTTCAGCTTGATTGTCCCAGTAGCAGGTTGCGTCCGGTACACGATCTGGTGATGAGGTCTGATCCGGATAGCAGGTCGCAGACTGATCTTGATGTCCATGTCAGAGGTGCTGCTCCAGAAGTCTGCAAGTCCAAGGCGCCGGCCAAAGGGAACAGCATGGTGGCCAACCAACTGTCTTATCTCCTCGTACTGCGCTGCAGCATGCCATCGTCCTCGTGCGCTTGCCATTAGATCCATTATCGCCGACAAAGCGCAGGGGCCACATAGAGAACTTGGACAAGAGAGACAAGGATGTGGCGGAGGACAGATGGGAGAACGGGGCAAAGC